GTTTTTGAAAAACCGAATTATAAAAACCGATCCAACCGAATTGTAATTGGATCGTATCGGATTGGATTTGAATTTATTTTGGACAATTCGGATCCATGTTTTGAAAACCGAAATCAATTTGGATTTACTTGATTGTATCGGATCAAACCGATCCATCTAAACGAACACCCTTAATCATATACTTATATATGTAAAGTATTAAATATCATATATATGATATTAAATTACAATAAATATGTTTTTTTCTTTTTTTTTTTTATTTTAAAGTTATACATTAAAAAAATATTTTGTGTTTATACTTTAATGTTTAATTTTTTTTTTTTTTTAAATCAACCTATGTAATACACGGATCTCACACCTAATTACAAAATAAATAAATAAATAAATAAGTGGGTTTTGGAGCCAAAGATACGAAATCTCAATAACTGAATCAAAAATATGCTCCGACTTCACACTCCGATTGTAAAAGACCAAATCATTTCTAAATCTCCAAATATAATTCACAAAACACTATATTACAAGTTCAAAAATTAAATCAGCTTATATGTGTAACACAACCTTAATCGTAATGCTTGTATTATTATTAATATAACTTCAATTAAAGTAAATAATCCGACTTTTTTCGTATTAACCAAAATGACTGGCGTGTCCCAAAATTGTATTTCGAACTAAATCAATTTTGTTTTGGGATATCAATAAGGCTATTAATACGTGACATAAATTGATTTGAAATTTTACATTTTGGACGTTACGAACGATTCTTATATTTTTAACATCCTTTATCAGACAAATCATAGTATTTGGACCCCAAAATGCTCTGTTTTACTAAATTCTAACAAAAAATTAAAAATTTTACCAAATCGGAAATAGATTCTAATACATGGAAATAAAAATATATTTTAGTAGAAAACCGGATAATAGTATCATTTTGAATTTATAAGGGTCATAAACATAATTTTTGTAAGTGTTTGATGCAAATAAGAACACATTTAAAATCTCTTCTCTATTCTAATAAAACAAAATTTTGGTTTGATACATATCATCTTTTTACGTATAATGACAAATGTCAAACTTTAAGTATTTTTTTTTTAATTCACTTGATATAAATATAAAAAGTATAAATGTAACAAAATAAATATAAATAATATTTTTCCTGCTAAACTTTATAGAAAGGATTTCAAACGAATTAAAATGTCAATCCCTATAATTGAGGAGGTTAATAAATAATGATATTATTTCCTTATATTTGCTAAAAAACTGATAATACCTTCATATCAGCTATTTTTGGGGATAGATATCCATTTAGCATTTACTTCAATGATTTTCTTACAACTATAAAAAATAACATTTGAATTCGATCATGATCTCTTCGCATTCGAATACATTCCATTTTAATACCTTTATAATCATATATAACATTTTTTTCTTATTATTTAACATTTTTTTGTATTTTTCACATATACTATAGGGGTTTGTAACCTAGCTACATATATTCAAAATTTAAAATGACCTTATTTATGGTGGTCATTACGATAAATCCAAAACCGAAAAAAAAAATAAAAATAAATTAGTCATAAGGTCATATATATATAACCAAGAAACCAAGGAATCAATCTAAAACGTCAAAATTTAAAACGATCAATGGCAAAAGGAGGGTTGTAGACTTTTACAATGGACGCACATGCACCGGATTATAATAAAACTTACTTCCTTTTTTCGTTAAAAAAAAAAAATTAGGCCATGTTTTTTATCGAAAAAAAAGGCAGAGTATACCGTTGTTTAAGATTTTCGTTCTCATTCCAAATAGATTCATGATGATATCTAAAAAACGATATTTTTTTTCGAAAAAAACTCACTTTATTTTCTTTGTTTAAAGTTAAGGTCTATTTTTTTATATGAAAAAAATTAATAAACATATCAAAATTCATGTTTTTTGTACTTTTTAAATATAAATTCATATTCATGTAAAAAAAAACGTTATTTAAATTCATATTCACATTGTGGACCTGTTCAGATTCATATTGTGAATTTGTTTAGATTCATATTGCGAACCTGTTCAGATTCACATTGTGAACCTTCTTACATTCACAGTGTGCATAATAGTAAGTAAGATTCACAGTGTGAATTTGAAATGATGAAGCTTTTTCACATTGTAAATGTTAAAAATTGAAATATTTACAGTTTAGATTCACAATGTGAATCTAAATAATTCGGAGTTTTTTTTAGTCTGTGTTGATATTTATTAATAGAGTACAAAAAACTTAATATTTTTTGTATAATTAGTTTTTTTTATAAAAATAAACTTAAATATTGAAAAAACTAACAAAATAAAGTGGGTTTTTTGTTTCAAAAAAAATTGTTTTTTATATATCACCATGAATCTTAATGGAAAGAGAACAGAAAATCAAAAACAACGGTATATTCGGCCTTTTTTTTTTTTTTTTTTTGGTAAAAAATATAACCTAAAAAAATTTTAAACGAAAAAAAAAGGTGAGTTTTTTTGGTAAAAATGTGGATTTTTTGATATAATGTAAGCGTTCAATATAAAACAAAATATACATCTATTTTCTTATCCGTTGATTATTATGATTTTCGACGTTCACGATTGGCTTTTTAGTTTCTTGTTAATTGGCTTTTTAGTTTCTTGTTAATTTTGATTTTCTATTAAACCTCACCCCTATATGTAATTATACCTTAATAAATGATATGATTGTGAAAGATTAAGATACTATATATATCCTCGAAGGTCATTACCAAATCCCCGTTCATAAGCCGGCATCCCATTCGTGGGACAGTAAGTCAACTTATAACAATACCCCCTTATAAAAGCCTTCCCTCTCCTTACCCCACAAGCCACCAAAAACAAAACCCATTTGAAGATATCTACTTGTCTAATGTCTACGCAAACATTCAACATGAAGTTCTGGTTAATATGCATCATAACATTGATCATGGCTAACTTCTTCATTAATCCATTGATCACAGCTAGGCCAATACCTATCAATCAAGCCAATGATTGTTGCATTACGTACCAATTTGGAAATAGAAACACGTCAAGTTTGAGTTTATTCTCAGCGATGCTGCCCAAGCGCAATCCCGTGCCTCCTGCTGGTCCGAGTCCTGGCATAAACTTGATCCCATAACATATTTGGCGGTTATATTGTCGTTAGCACAAGAGATTATATTATTATGCGATTATGATATTGTTTCTTTTTCTTTCTTGCATTATTATATGATATATATGCTTCCATGTTTATAATATCAATTTTGGTTAGTGATGTTTTCTGTAGACTGTAGAATGCTAGTTTTTTCATAACTATTCATACACGTACACTTTAACTAAGGGGACGTTTGGTAGGGCTTAATGTGGGAATGGAATGACCCATTAAGAGGGAATGCAAAAAATGTGTGTTTGGTTTGTTCAAAGAAATGAATCTATCACCCATTCAAGATTGAATCACATTCATTGAGAACGTGGGTTTTCATTGTAATAGAAATTTCTATACTTGTAGCTTTTGCTATTGCGTCAATTTTTCTGTTATATTATGCTTTTTCTTGCCGTGTATTTTATTTTTCTGTGCTCTAAAAGCAATTGAAGATTTGGTTAATCGTAGATTGGAGAGGTAGTTGTGGAGTGCTCCTAATTGATCAAATATGATTTTAACCATTCATCAAGATACAATAACTTTTTTGTTATTGATCAACATACAATAACTTTTTTATTGTTGATCATAACAAGTTCAAATCTTTTTATCGAAAACCTTTATGAGTGTCAAAATTGAATCAAAAATTTCTTTTCCATCAAATTTATTTATGATTCCCTGCTCATTTCTTTTTGATATTTGGACAGAAGCATGTAAATTTAACAAGGTAATTGTTTTGTAGATTTATATTTGTTTCCAGCAAAATGAACTTTTAGTTTACTGTACTTGATTAAATGCTTCTAGCATCACCAATTGTTTTGCTTCCATTTATGTTTTAGGAGAGGTAAAACTGGCCACCAGTAAGTTTTATTCTTTAATATCAATTAAATAGTTCTCTAGCATCATCCTGATTAATTAATATACTAGTTTTAGAACCATAGTTGTATTTAGCTGAATGTTTATTGCATCGTTATTGCTTCCTGTTGACGGGTTCCCTTTTTTTTTTTTTTGGCATATTTTGCATTCGTCAAATAATTCTTTGCAACACCTCCATCATTCTATACCATTCTGACACAAAGTTAAATTATTCTTGGTTTAAGTGTTCATTGACTGTAACAAGGTTTTTTGTATGCTTTCAAAGAAACTAGTTGATGGTAATCTTTTTTATAGTTGAGGAAGAACACACATTTGGATAGCTAAAGGATTTGGTTGACAATGATGCTTGATGTTTTTTATAAGAATTTTGTTTATGAAAATACTTTTTTTTAGTTATGCACATTATGCACATTATGATCTGGTAAGTGTTTTTCTTGTTACTGTTGGTAGATATTGATATGTTTTTATGAGATTAAGTTTTTATAGCTTTTTTATAAATTAAATTTCATATTTTTATTTAAACCAATTTAGAAAGAATTTTATATATGTCCTTGATAAACAACAAAATATTATATATATATATATATATATATATATATATATATATATATATATATATATATATATATATATATATATATATATCCGTACTAAGCTTTCAAAGTATTATATTTACCCAAATTTAAAAAAAAAAAAAATTATTATTCAAAATCATATTAACTAAAAACAAATTGAAATTGACAATAATACCTTCATTTTGGAAATTGCAAAAATAATTTGTATCCCATCACAAACACAAACTAAGCCCGAAAAGTGGAAACACAAATGACCCAAGCCTGACCATTGTCCACGTTGCTCCACCTTTCAGAATCATTGTCGATTTTCTTATCAGGAACTTTGATCCAACAGGGCATTGATGTCGCTGCTCTTCCATTCTTGAATCATCACTGATTTCCTCATCAATGACTTCAATTCCAACACATGATTTCATCATCAACGAATTCGTGTTTTGGAATCGTTTCTAATTCCTCACCAACTTTAATTCCAAAAGGTGATGAATTGTGTTTTACATCATCAACGATTTTGGAATCTTGTTTTACTAATTTCATCGTCAGTGATTTGGAATTGTGTTTTACTGTTTTACTGGGAGTTGTTGTGAAGCTGATGGAGAAATCAAGGTTAGTGTTGAAGTTCATATGGATGGAGAAAAACATTGGTCTTGCACTAGACCAAGTAATTCCAGTATATGAGAGTTTTCCATTAAGTCCTTACTATTTTTTGCCGAGGGAAGATACTTGGGAAGAGCTTAAAGTGATGCTCGAGAGTAAACCATGGATTTCTTAAAAGCAAGTGATTATTATTCTTACTCAAGCTACTACAGGGTGGTGGTGATATACATTAAGTTCTTGTCAATTCCTTAGATATGTGTAGATTATGATGACTTCTTACAGGTTTATACTATTCACAAACTGATAGAGATGATCCCATTTAAGTTATGGTTTTTTCTTGGTTTATTTTCATCTACTCCAATTTCTTGATCCAATATGTCACTTTTTCTTTCTGTCTGCTTCTTTGATGAAATACAATATATAAAGAAAGGGTTTACCAATTCATTTTGGTCATTAATATGTCCATTTTAAGGGCCTGTAAGAGCTTAATATAAGATATGGGCAAGGGATCTATAGTCTTCATAATAGTCATACTTCCACTTCCACATAAACAATTCTCTTTTTGTTAGTAAAATTGGTTTGCGACATTTTTCTTGAAAAAAATTATAGTTAGGCTCTTTATGTTAATTTGTTGGATTAATATTTAGTTATAGTTATTCAAATTGATTAAAATAATAGTTTGGGTAAATATGATATTTTGACAATTTATGAAGGGTATAAGTGATATTGTAAATTTAATTTTATAATAAGGGTATAATAGTCCATTGATAAAAATAATAATATAAAATGATTTAAAATGTTTAAAAAAAGATTTGGGTAAATATGATATTTGAAAGCTTAGAAAATGTAGATATGTTATTTAGAGATTAGGTCGGGCAAATATGATATTGGGTTAATGACCTTAGAGGGTAATAAGGTTTTAATTTTTTCCAAATTAGGTCTCTAAAGTCTTTTTTGTACATATTATACCAACATGGTTGTTATAATCATTTAAAGAGGGTTAAAGTCTTTTTTGGGCCTAATTTGGAAATATGATATTGGGTTAAAGTCTTTTTTGGGCCTAATTTGGAAAATTAGGCCTTTGATGGGCCATAATTGGGCCTTTATGATTATGAGATATTGGACCATTGGAATTCCAAGTGTTTGGACCAGAATAGATGGTTGGGATTTAAGGTAGGGCCCAAGTGAAGGGTTGGGCCTAATTTGGAAAATTGGGCCATAGGTTGGGCCTTGGTCGATGGTTTGACTATTGGGCCTTTAGATTGTGAGTTCGACCTTGGGCTTGGAACCTAATTATTAATTGGGTGTCGTTTCGATGTTGACAGTTCAGGAATCTATCAACCAGTAGTTGAAGTTTTATCCGCAGAACTTCAACAGTGCCAGGTGAGTTGTCATCACTTTACTAACAGGGTCGAAGGCACCAATGTCGGCCCTTTTCGGATTTGTATCAGGGTTATTGCATGATATGTTTATTGATTTACATCATGGTAGTTAGGATGGTGATATGCATAGTGACCTGGTTAGGTCGGCATCCTGGTATATAGGATGATGTTATGTTAGTGACCGGTTAGGTCTACATCCTGGTTTTAAGATGTAGTTATGATTAGCGATCTGTTAGATCGGTTTGACTGTTATATATGCTAGCGTATGATATTTATGTGCACATGTTTGTTTGATTGGGGGTTAGGTTGAGGCGGTCCTGCTTTGTGCTGAAGGCCAACATACCCAGTGCGGTCCGGGTAGACTGAAGGCCCTGCAAGGGGGTTCAGTCAGGCCGAAGGCTCGACAAGCGGTTCGGATATGCTGTAGGCCCTGCGAGGTAGTCCAGATGTATCGAAGACTCGGAGAGCGGTCCAGATAGGTTGAAGGCCTGTGAGGCGGTCCAGTCAGGCTGAAGGCTCATTATGCATATTGTTTGCTTATATGTTATTGATATGTTTTATGGTGTTGGTATTTTAGGGGTGACTCACTAAGCCTCCGAGCTTACATTTATCGATTATTGTTTCAGGTACTTCTGATGATCGCAGGAAGGCGAAGACATGATCGTACAGCTCCTCATATTTCATGATTTCATGATTTGATTCTGGGGATACTCTGATACTTAAACTATTTTGAAAACAAACTATAATAACTTAATGGTTTTAAATGTTTTAAAAAGTTTAAATTGGCTTGAATTTTATGGGTGTTACAAGTTTATATCAGAGCCTTGGTTTGAGTGTATTGGAGGAAACACTTGTGTGTCTCCAGTCTCAAACTAAGGATAAGATTTTAAAATGGTTTTTTTTAAATGGTTTTCAAAATATTAAGGGAGGATGCAAGTGAACGATCAATCGAAGCTCGCGAATAGACCCCAAAATACCTTATGGATTATTTGATTTTGTGATATGTTGGAACAACATGCTAGTACTAGGCTAGGGATCTTCAAGAATTGCATGATCGAATTGTTTGGATATATGATGCCTGATAGCCCAGTGTTTTCTTACATAAAATTGACATCATTACTGTAGTTGCTAAGTGTATGCATCACGACTGTACATAATTAAGATCTTATATCCTGAGAATGTTTGGTTTGGCCTTATTTCCTATTATTGTTTGATGAAGGGCTCAGGATAGGATTAGGTATTCGAAAGTCTATAGGGTCCAGCTTTATGTATGGTCTGTTGGATTAGTGTCTAATCCCGTAACCATATTTGGTAAGTACTTGACCCGGTTGTGCATGGTCCTTTTGGGTTGCCTTCACTAAAGCAACTTGACTGGAGAAATAATAGAGAAAGAGGTTATTATGATTTATTAATATATTATAAGAATAATATATTAAAGGAGAAATCAATATTTGTTTAATTAATATTGGTCAATAATTAATTAAGAATTAATTTTGTGATCAAAAGTAATTAATTAAACTAGAGGGGTTGAATAGTAATTATGTGATAGTTGCAAATTAGGGCAATGGATGCCCTATGGATAGGGTGGACGAATTCAAGGTGATAAGGCCTTAGAATTCGTCCAAGATAAGGATTCTAGGCTTATCTTATGGGCTGCTTGGTGGGTAGGTAACCAGAGAAGGATAAGGGCTGAAACCCTACTCTCTACCCTATATAAAGACCCCTTAGGCCTAGGAAAATCGGCCACTTGATCCCTAGAAGACCTAGAGCCGATTTTTGCCTCTCTCCTCTCTCTCTCTTGCCTCTCCATTTGCTCTTGGTGTTTGTGAGCCATTAAAGATACTACACTTGTGGTACTTACTTTGTAAGACAAGGAGATTGAAGATTTAAGTTGTTATTACAATATAACAACAAGAGGTATGAAATTCCTTTTACCATTGATAGCTCGATTATTTGTATATATTTTAGCAATCGTTTTCTTTTACTTTTAGCATTTTTAATATTCTTTTTGTATTAAATCGTTAGATTTATTGTTTTGAATATTTTTACTCGTTTAAGTTTTTTTTGTGTAGATTTGTTCGAGCAAGATGGTATTTTGGAGAATTGTTAAAGCCACATTGAATTCCTTGCAACCACGATTGAAGTCTCGTAGCAAAATCCGAAAGCGAAAAGAAAAACAAAGCGATATAAATTAAATTTTCGGATTTTGACAGCTTTGCGCGGCTTTCTTCAAGCGATCAGACGGAGGGGCAAACGTCGTCCAATTGAGCTGAAATTTTACGGACATCTTCCAAACTCATCAATATTAGACCTCACAAAAAATGAGCGGATTTGGACTAGTTTTGGTTGGGTTTTTTGCCTCGTGAACATCAGAACAGGAAGCTGCCAGCTTTAGCTATGGCAGCCCAATATATAAAGCTTGTGGCAGCCCATTTTCAGATTTTAAATAGCCCAAGTGTATTTTCCAGCAGTCCAAATTTTAATTTCCAGCAGCCCACATGAATTATTTATTAGCCCAATACATTTGTGTTGGTGGTAGATGAAAAGCAAGTCACGCAAGTAGGGCATTTTTTTTGGGAGTTAAGAAAAAGAAAGAACACAGTGAGTGTAGGGGAAGAACAAGAACGGCGCCTCTTTGGGTTTTCTTCTTGTCTTCTATCTCTTTTCTATTTTTTATTTTTGGAACATTGCATTTATGATTTCACGATCATAATTTGTTAATGAGTTATTTATCTTTTTAATTAGATTAGGTTAGGTTAATTTTTGTATTAATACTTGGATTATGGATGGAGTTTTTGGAGCAACAAGAAGTGACGATTTCAAGAAGCTTTGTTATCTTCGTTTCGTAATCGGTATTGGTATAATTTCTATCATTTTTATTGTTATTATTATTATGTGTTGTTAGTTTTTATTTTCAATATTGGGTGAATTTATGGAACAATTAATTGATTAGGAATAGTTTTTTGTGGTTTTGATGGTATGCTATGAAAGGATTTTCTAGTAAAACATCTATTATGCTCATATGTCTTTAATCATGAGTTTAGATATGTGAAGGTTTAACTTGTTGGTTAATTTCTTGATTACGTAATAGATCCTCAAATTAACAAGCAACAAATGGTTCTTGTGATTGCTTATCTTTCACACAATCATGAAAATATTTTCTCCAATATGGTAGTGAAAGCATTTTGACTCCTCTTGGATTTGGTGACTTTTAAATCTTAATGCTAGTTAATTTTCATTAATTACATGCTTCATGGAAATTATGACTTTAACTAAAAAAAAATGTGTTATGAGCTTCTCTAACCATTGTATTAACTAAGAAAAATCTAGGTGATCTCAAGCTTCTTAGATTGCTATAGCCACATTAATATCCATTAAACTCATTGCACCACAAAATTATGATAATTAGTCAATTAATTGAACTTGTGATTTATCCCGATATTGGAACGTTTTATTTTATAGATTTTGTATTTTTCATTTTTGTTATTTTTATAAAATAGTTTTTATCGCATTTGACATTTTGAAAAACCCCACATATAATTTTATATTTTTATTTCGTAGAAACTGAATGCATAGATTTGATTCGAACCAATCCCTGTGGATTCGATCCCTATTACTACTACTATAATTCATTTTTGTATGTTGTCGTATCCAGGGTTTTTTTTATTTGGTGGTCTCGACAATCACCAACCATCTAAATTTCGAAATACCTAGATGCATGCAAGGGTTCTTCTTGTGTTCATAATGTTGTGTATCTTATAGTGAAAACATAGATCCAAATCTAGGGTTGCAT